CGATCATTCAGAATTTGGTTTATATATATATGGCTATTTTGAAGTGAATTCGTGGAGGGTGTTTCCCTTAAAATGCTTCTATTTTACTCTTATGTTAAAACTTTCTGTTGTTTAATCACACTTTCTATTAAAAATCCTGAGAAATTAACTAGTTTATTTTATTTTTATTGGAAACCTAACTGCTCCATGATGATCAAGATTTTCTCTTAATTCAAAATCACTCACTATTTCATGAAACAGACTAGAAAATTTAAGAATAAACACAAACTGCTTTAAGTATTTTCTAGACTTACTGCCATTAAAATAAACATAAATTTGTATAGTTTGTTTAGATACTTTTCGGTAACTATGAATTTGACAAAGGTTATCCTTAGGTTTCTCTAAAGTTCCTGTACTATGAAACCACGGATTCATGGATCACATCTTGTTGGCGTCACATCTCACTATTCAATCAGACAAGAGTAGTTCAAGAGTTGGCGCTGGGTGTCGTTTACCATTTTCCTTCCTTCTAGTGTGTCAGTTTAAAACTAGCCCTTTGTATATCCACGAGCAATAATTTTGAAACAAACATATTTGTCCAGTATTCATATACATTTTGCTGATGATTAGACAGTTTTGAATTATTCCTCTCCTCTGTGTTCCTCATAAATTGTTGATAACAGTGTACGAGTCCCATCAATAATCTATATATTTTTTACCTACAAATAAAGACGTAGTGACAAAAAAAGTTTCTAAGTTCTAAGTGTAGTATAAGTATTAGCAAGTATGCAATTATTATTGACATTTTGTAGTTGTAGTTTGGTATAGGGTAAAATAATTGAAATGTTTAGTGAAGTTTCCGTCTTGTTTCGTTGTCTTGGTCTGATCACCTTAGTGAAAGAAACAGAAGTTAACTATAAATGTAAATACTTCCTTATGTGTTTATATTGTGCTCGGTAAGGAGCGAAGTGCTACCGTTTCAATACATTCTATTGTGTGCTTGGATTTGCAACTACACATGGTATTTTTGTGGATTTTAATTCGTTTTAGAGAACATTTTCCAACAAGAAAGTAAAATAAGTCAAGGAAAAAATATTGTATTTAAATGTTAATAAATGATACTGAAATGTAAATACAACTCATTTCATCTGTTTTTGATATGGATGTTATAAAAAGGTTTGTAAATTAGTGTACATTTTCAATAATGTCCTCAATTTTGATCATTACCATTATGACAACAAATGATTTAACATGTCTCTTCTGTAAATCCAATGTAGAATACATCGACCTTTAATGCATACAAAATACCTAAGCCATGGTAAGCTAAACTCTGGAAATGTGCTCTTAACAAATTCTCATTTTTTCTCATAATAAAATTCTGATTTCAATCTTCACCGTTGCAGCTATTGTCTACGCATCAAGTGCACACCTCAATTGATACTGTCTTTATTAATTATTGGAAGCGACAACATCTTTCAGGATATGGCAACACGGGTTATATAATAAATTGCTAACAACATTCTCTAGAAGGAGAACTTTCGAAATGCGCTTAAAAACTTGATCTAGTTTTTAAGAAGAAAACTTTTAGATTAATACAGAGGTCTTTTTACGAATAACGTTTTCACAGGAATAGTTAATAATGTGGCTATAAATGTAAAAGAAGTATTTTTCTCATGTTATTATCAAGGTGTAAGTATCAGCAAATTTCCAAGTTATATGTAAAATGACACTAACGAGGGTTAATCGTAATTTGAACTTCCTTCATTATCAGTTATGCGGAGTTTGATATCTGTGATTACGCAATATTATCTCACATTGCAATATTCATTGCAACAAGCTTCTGCGAACAATGGTGATGACGAAGCCAATCTTAAACCACACATATAGTCAAACTTTCCAAACGCCCTAATCTGTACTTTGATGTTACTTTTACTAAGATTATGCAGACACAAGGCATAAAAGTCAGTCCATTAGAGCTGCAGGTTGGGGGTGAAGGTTTTGACAGTTTTATAATTGAATGAAATCGATAGGATCTAGTTTCGTTATCCTTATCATGAAAACAACCATTGTCTTTAGGTGTGGTTAGAAGTTTGCGAGTCTTCGCTATTTTCAAATTCGTGTTTATTTTTTTGTTAAAGGTACTGAGAAGTATTCCTGTTTTATTGCAATGACTTTTTTGGAGGAGGTCCGGAGGATTCTGTCTCTTAACTATAGCTTCCACTTTGTGATTGAGGACTTTATCAACCTTAGATCAGAATTTGGTTTCTAATCTGTTCTGAACGCTCCGCTAATAAAGTATTTCCACACCTTTGGAAAACATTGAAGATTTCCTTCTTAGACTATCCTTTCGGAAAGGGCTGTGTGATGCTCGTCCAATCATGGTTGCCTATTCGCTGTAAACAAAATATATACACAATGAACATATCGCTTGCGCCGCTATAGCTAGTATCTGCAGTAACATACTGTTACATTAGCACATGTGAACACGTTCTTCAAGACAAAATATTAATCTTCTGTACTTTTAGTTGAAGTTAAGCATTTCGTGATAATAATTTTCAAATTAAATTTCAGTTTATAAATATGAAACTTATGAATGAAAATAAGGAAGAATATAATAATATGTAAATCACATTATATCTGTTATATTCAGTGCCAAGGAGGCTTTTTGCCTAATACCAGAGCTCATCAGGCCAGTTGGGATACGTCATACAAACTATAATTATAGATTGGTGATCATATATTGGGCATTTTTACGTAATTAAAACAATAAAACCCCTATCGGAGACCTAGCATTAAACGTCATCATATTCTGATATATTCTAATGATATATCTTTGAAACGCGATAACGCTTTATTATTTTATCTAATACTGCTAGAAAATGTGAATGCAATACCCATTCTGAACTCACACTTTAATCGTATAGAGTGAAATAATTTTTCGTGATAGTTTAATGTATGTAACTCGCGTATGGATTTATTATAACAGTGTTTAAACATAAAACGTTGAGTGAAAATATGTTATTCTGAATTATTATAAGTTGGAATTTAATTTTAAAATAAAATCACAATATTAGGCTATGGTAAGTTACATTTCTAATGTATGTTCGTCATTAAATTCCGCCCCCCTCCCAGTGGTACAGCGGTATGTCTGCGGACTTACAACGCTAGAATCCGGATTTCGATATCCGTGGTGGGCAGAGCACAGATAGCCCATTGTGTAGCTTTGTTCTTAATTATAAACAAACAATCATTAAATTCCTCCTATAATAATTAATGTTTTTAGTTACTTTATACCCGCCCCCCCCCCCAGTGGCACAGCGGTATGTCTGCGGACTTACAACTCGAGAATCCGGGTTTCGATACAAGTGGTGAGCAGAACACAGATAGCCCATTGTGAAGCTTTGTGATTAATTACAAACAAACAAGTTCTTTCTAAGTTGGTTTGATTTGGCAAGTATGGAATTTATATTATGTTGAGGAGTAAACATGATCCAGTGATATAAGATGATTGAGGAAATCAACGCAGCGTCTATTACTAGACCATACGTCCCACCTCCTGCGATAAGTTTG